CTGTCGACACCACATTTGGACAGCACCCTCTTCTATTCCGCTGTCGCCCCCTCCTTTGCGCAACACCGTCTTCTCATTCCCTGTCGACACCACATCTGGACAACACCCTTTCTCGCACCCCTGTTGACACCATCTCTTGTTATTCCCTGTTGACACCACATTTACACAACACCCTTTTCTCATTCCCTGTCGACACCACATCTGGACGACACCCTCTTCTCATCCCTCGTCGACACCACATTTACACAACACCCTCTTCTCATCCCCCGTCGACACCACATCTGGACGACACCCTTTCTCGCACCCCTGTCGACACCACATTTTCACAACACCCACTTCTCGTACCCCTGTTAACACCACATTTGCACAACACCCTCTTTTGTTCCCCTGTCGACACCACATCGGACAACACCCACTTCTCATCCCCAGGCCACACCACCACCTTCTGACGAGACCACGTTCTGCCCCCTGTCAAGACCGTTTCTGGCTACACATTTTTTCTGAGCACGCTGATTCGCGCGCAGCCAAATCCAGCTTCGCCTGCATTTCCGTGGCGCTCAGATCCTCAGAGCCTGCCTCTGTTGCAGCCCGCTCGGCAGAGCTACCAGCGACGTAGACGTCCATGTGTCAGACGTACGGTGTGGATACCAGCATAAAGGCGTCACTGTAGAAGGAAATGGGTGTGAGGGCAGTTGCCCAAGTGTATTGATCGTGATGTGTTCTGTCCATCTCTGACCAGCTCTCGCAGTCCCCTTTTTCCTCTGTGGGTGGCTGGGACGCTCATCTCGCTACACGCCCCTGTATGCACTTATCCGGTGTGAGTGGAGTTATGCACGCCCTGTTGTGCAACACCATGCGAGGATACGCTGTACTTTGTGCAAGGAGAGGTAAGTTTGGATCGTGGCAGAAACTCAGACACAACGTCCAAAGGGATAGTACATGTACTCGAGAGTTACGAGATGGCATGGCCACTAGTCATATAGATGCTTTCTCGCCTCACTTCAGCGAGAGTGGAGACAGGAATATTTATCTCTGAGGTACAACTGCCCCCCACGACGCAGATAAACACTTTTATTGCCGTGCGCTGTTTCTCTGCAATAATATCGCTACCCGCTTGACGCTGGTGTGGAAAGGACGTCTAGAGACCTGTCCTGAACCAAAAGCTAAGGAATATACTGTCGTATCGTATGTTAGGTCTGGCAGATGCCCCGGCCGCTGAAACAAAATAGGCTCTGAACGATCTATACGCAGTCAGCTATCCGTTGCTCTTGCAACGGCCTGTGTTTCCTACTCTGAGCTGCACAATTCCTTTCATCTAGCCCGTGATATGCTGGGACAGTGGTAACGGACGACAAGAGCGGATCCGCCGCCCCAATCTTAAAGCCGGGCGCAATTGGTGAAGGCACGGGCGACGGTGGTATTACGACAGGGCTGGTTCCATGGTCGCCGTACGACAGCAGGGGCAGCTGTTGAGCGTCTTCGGGGATTAAATCGTCTTTGTATTCGGATTGCCGCTGCCCAACTCGCCGGTTTGCGGCTGTGAAAACCGAAGTCTGAAGCTGACTAGCAGACTGTTCATATCTTGCCTTCGATGAAAGAGACATAGCATTGCTTCCCTGTCAGATTTGCGTGTTGCGTCTTAGCATTGGAAACATGAGGATAACTCTTGTTCCCAGGACGGGTACGGAGTACAGTATATGTAACGATTGTTCGCCAAAATTGATCAAAACAGCTGGCCGAAACTGACCGCATAGATTGCGTTGACATGCGCTCCTCTCCTACAGTACACTGAGTACAGTAACTCCAACTCGCGTGTTACGCATTATCGATACACCTGATTGACCTTGACATTCTCCACATATGAGAACCCCTTGAACCCTACTACATACAGCCTACATTTCTTCTAGTGCAATAGCTTCCTCTAAGAATAGAGTCTCGACGGCGACAGGGTCTAGATCAAAGGGCGCATGAAGAAGGTACGCAAGGTGTGACCGAGCCACAGTGTGTATGATATCATCCCACCGATCCTGGTCCCAGAATATCGTACCCCAAAAACCGAAGTGATCGGCTAAGAATAGAAGTTCCGGCCCCATAGCTAAGCCCCCAGGTACATTATCGAGGATATCGACATGCTTTTCGTTGAGCGTGCGCCAGGACCGGAAGGCAGTTTCGTCGCCTTGCACAAACGGGTCGTATTGGCAGTATTGAAGAGGCCATTGCCGTGATTTGATCGAACGCAGTATTTCTGCTGTCGTGTCGAAGAACACACCACCGGCTTCAACATGCGTGCTTACTGTCCTGGGCCCAGTTCCCTTTGCCGTGAGCGACTTGGGCCCGCACAGAAGGTAGTGTATAGCTTCCAAACCTGATGCCAAAATGCCTTGTATTGAAGCGTCTGTTGGCGCGCTGTTGCCATTGGTGATGTGGAACCCAGGCGGAGTGTCGCTTTGAGCGCGGGAGTGATGCCGTCGGACTGCACGCTCAAATACACCCATGATTGCCGCAACTTGATACATCTCCCACGGGGCCATGAAATCTCGCCACATGCAATCCAAATCTCTTTCCAGAGAACCGGCAGGCCGTCCGGTGTTGTCAATAATTGCCGGGTGATTGTGCCAAGCCATAGTCATGATGCCAAACAGATATATAGCTTGCTGCACCCGTGTGCTTTCAGTCGGGGAAGGGTAGCGGAAGCGGGCCGTGCTATACATAGGGTACACCTCCGTCACTCTGGAACGGTCTTCCATGACGAACTGGCACAGTTCTCTCACGATCTTGTTGAGGTAAAGTATTTTCCTCGTCGATGATGCCGCCAGGGAGTATTGGCAGTCAAGCTTGCGGCAGCTTTCTCTGACAGCGGGAAGGCTCTCAACGCTCGCTCTAACGCTCGCTCCAGTTGCTGGTACCTTCGTAGAAGACTCTCTTCTGCTAGAGAGAAATTGGTGCACAATCGCATGCATGTAGAGTCCCGGGCCTAGCTTATTCTGCAGGACTTCAGTCGTTATGAAGTTCTCATGCCCCAAAAAAATCCTGTACAAGGCAGCGTGGGCTACAATAGCGTTTTGTAGCGAGCAAAAATCCGGCAGTGACGCCAGGCATAATGCTCCAATTTCTGGGGGAAGCGTTGTAAGAGACATCAGTGCGCATTGTCGGCGGCTTCAGGGAGAAGGCACGCTCAGCGAGCGGTTCAGTCCCAAGAGCCCTTCAGGCCAGCAAGTTGCAGGTCGCAACTTATGCGATATACAGGCGGTACTTCGGGGTGTGTAGAAAGACGTGGCTGGAAGGCGCTCTTCATTGAGAGGCCTGCCAGAATAAGGGGTACGGTTAGCCTCGTGGGGGATACAGTACTTATATACTTATATGTCGTGCGTAGTTCGTCCCGCTGTTCACGTTGTACCACCCTCCAGGCTGCCAGATTGCCAGCTGTCTAAGTCGGCTCGCTTACCGTGCTACTCAGCCCTAGCTCAGGGCTCTAAAAGCGATTGGAAATGCAACTATGGCAACTGCGATTCTAACCAAATGCGCACACGCGAGGTAGGTGAATCACAAAGAAAAGTGATGTCCAACTGTAGTTGTGGCGGGCCTAGGGTGAATATTCAGGTGCTTACATCGTCGACGGGATATCGGCCAAGGATTTATCATGCACAGGCGGTCTTGCAATACATGAAGTCTTCCAATTACTAACAGTATCACAACACCCGAGTGGATATATTAAAGCTCTGAAGAGGCTTTTCGTATGTCGCCAAGGGAGCAGCTAAGTTTCCGCTTCTTAAATTGACTTGTGCCACTACTCTGGGCACGGTCCACATTTTCCAAGCGACTACATAGCATTGATATGAGCTGCTCATGCTCCTGAATTGTACACGCCAGAGCTTTCAAGTCTGCCTCTTGCGACTTAATTAACTCGTTCTTCTCGCAGAGTGCTGACTTGTGATTGTCAAGTTCTCTTTCTAGAATTCCCTTGCAAATCTGTTCGCATTCTAGATCTTGCGAGGACCGGAGCGCAAGATCCTCCAGCGCTTGATTCCGCAGTTGTGAGTCTGCAAGCTGCGCTTCGAAGAGGCGGCAGAGTTGCTCCCATTTTTCCAGCCCATGGGGCTTGTTAGGCCAATCGCAGAATGCCATAACCTGGCAGATTTCAAAGC